ACCCTGAACATAATACTCCAGTTATGGTCTATCAAATCACTTCAGCACATGACTTCATCTGCCAGATAGTTTTCTTTTTTTAAATTATACTTTAAGTTCTGGGCTTCATGTGCAGAACGTGCAAGTTTGTTACATAGGTATATATGTGCCATGGTGGTTTGCTGCATCCATCATCCTGTCATCTACATCAGGTATTTCTCCTAATGCTACCTCTCCCCTAACCACCCATCCCGCTGCTATCACTTCCCTTGCCCCCCATCCCCTGCCCCCCAACAGGCCCTAGTGTGTGATGTTTCTCTCCCTGTGTCCATGTGTTCTCATTGTTCAACGCCCACTTAGGAGTGAGAACATGTGGTGTTTGGTTTTCTGTTCTTTTGTCAGTTTGCTGAGAATGATGGTTTCAAGCTTTATCTATGTCCCTGCAAAGGACATGACCTCATCCCTGTTTTATGGCTGCATAGTATTCCGTGGTGTATATGTGCCACATTTTCTTTATCCAGTCTATCATTCATGGGCATTTGGGTTGGTTCCAAGTCTTTGCTATTGTGAACAGTGCTGCAATAAACATACATGTGTATGTGTCTTTATAACAGAATGATTTATAATCCTTTGTGTATATACCCAGTAATGGGATTGCTGCGTCAAATCGTATTTCTGTTTCTAGATCCTTGAGGAATCACCACCACACTGTCTTCCACATCCTCTCCAGCATCTGTTGTCTCCTGATTAATGATCACTATTCTAACTGGCATGAGATGGTATCTCATTGTGGTTTTGATTTGCATTTCTCTAATGATCAGTGACGATGAGCTTTTTCATGTTTGTGGGCTGCACAAATATCTTCTTTTGAGAAGTGTCTGTTCATATCCTTCACCCACTTTTTGATGGGGTTGTTTTTTTTCTTGTAAATTTAAGTTCTTTATAAATTCTGGATATTAGCCCTTTGTCAGATGGGTAGATTGCAAACATTCCAACTTTTTTCCCATTCTGTTGGTTGTCAGTTCACTGTAATGATAGTTTATTTTGCTGTGCAGAAGCTCTTTAGTTTAATTAGATCCGATTTGTCAATTTTGGTTTTTGTTGCCATTGCTTTTGGTGTTTTACTCATGAAGTCCTTGCCCATGCCTATGTCCTGAATGATATTGCCTAGGTTTTCTTCTAGAGTTTTTATGGTTTTAGGTCTTATGTTTAAATCTTTAATACATCTTAATTTTTTTTATAAGGTGTAAGGAAGGGATCCAGTTTCAGCTTTCTGCATATGGCTAGCCAGTTTTCTCAACATCATTTATTAAATAGGAAATCCTTTCCCCATTGCTTGTTTTTGTCAGGTTTGTCAAAGATCAGATGGTTGTAGATGTGTGGTGTTATTATTTTTTTCTTTTTTATAAAAAGAGATGGGGTTTCACCATGTTGGCCAGGCTGGTCTTGAACTCTTGATCTCGTGATCCACCCATCTTGGCCTCCCAAAGTGCTGGGATTACAAGCGTGAGCCACCGCGCCTGGCTGTGGTGTTATTTCTGAGACCTCTGTTCTGTTCCATTGGTCTTTATGTGTTCTGGTATCAGTACCATGCTGTTCTGATTCCTGTAGCCTTGTGGTATAGGTTGAAGTCAGGTAGTGTGGCGCCTCCAGCATTTTTTTTTCTTTTTTGCTTAGGATTGTCTTGGCTATGCAGGCTGTTTTTTGGTTCCATAGGCAGTTTAAGTTGGTTTTTTCCAATTCTGTGAAGAAAGTCAATGGTAGCTTGATGGGGATAGCATTTAATCTATAAATTGCTTTGGGCAGTTTGGCCATTTTCATGATATTGATTATTCCTAACAATGAGCATGGAATGTTTTTCCATATGTGTCCTCTGTTATTACCTTGAGCAGTGGTTTGTAGTTCTCCTTGAAGAAGTCCTCCACATCCCTTGTTAGTTGTATTCCTAGGTACTTTATTCTCTTTGTAGGAATTGTGAATGGGAGTTTACTCATGATTTGGCTGTTTGTCTGTTATTGGTGTATAGGAATGCAGCTGTGAATTCAGCTGTGAGCCCGTCTGGTCCTGGACTGTTTTTGGTTGGTAGGCTATTAATTGCTGTCTCAACTTCACACCTTGTTATTGGTCTATTCAGGAATTTGGCTTCTTCTTGGTTTAGTCTGGGAGGGTGTAAGTGTCCTGGATTCATTTTTTGGAAGGGTTTTCACGTCTCTATCTCCTTCACTTCTGCTCTTAGCTATTTCTTCTACTAGCTTTTGAATTTTTTCTTACTCTTCTAGTAATTTGTTTTTCTTAATTGAATTATATCACACTATTTTGGGCACTGTATTTTTAATGTAAGGAAGCATGTCAGCTTAAAGTCACATGGCAAGGATCAGGACCAGAATCTTACCCATATATATATATATATATATATATATACACACACACACACACACACACACACACACACACATATATATATACATATATATATATATATATATTTTTTTTTTTTTTTTTTTGATACAGAGTTTTGCTCGTGTCCCCCAGGCTGGAGTGCAATGGTTCAATCTCGGCTCATTGCAACCTCCGCCTCCTGGGTTCAAGTGATTCTTCTGCTTCAGCCTCCCAAGTAGCTGGGATTACAGACACATGCCATCACTCCCAGGTAATTTTTGTATTTGTATAGATACAGGGTTTCACCATGTTGGCCAAGCTAGTCTTGAACTCCTGACCTCAAGTGATCCCACCCATCTCAGCCTCTCAAAGTGCTGGGATTACAGGTGTTATCCACCACGCCCAGCAGAACCTTGATCTTTTAAATGTGAATTTCAGATATTTCTATGACCTGTAAGGGGAGAGGTGGGGAAGATGAAGGTTGAAGGGAATATTGAATAAGAGACTATCTGTACTATCTCCTCAATACATGAGATATTTGATAATAGCTATATAAAACAAGCCTTATTCCCATGTTGACAGATGAGAAATTAAAGCTCAAAAAGGTTAAATGATTTTGCTAAGATCACTATGTGACCCGAATTCCAGTAGTAATTGCCTAGACAAATCCATTTTCAAGCAGGGCACAGTGGTGTATGCCTGTAGTCCTAGCTATTTGTGGTCTGAGGTGAGAGGATTGCTTGTGCCTAGGAGTTCACGTACAGCTTGGGCAACATAGCGAGAACCTATTTCTGAAAATAAATAGGTTGGGTGCAGTGGCTCATGCCTGTAATCCCAGCACTTTGGGAGGCCAAGGCACGTGGATCACTTGAGGTCAGGAGTTCAAGACCAGCCTGGCCAACATGGTGAAACTGTCTCTACTAAAAATGCTGGGCGTGGTGGTGTGTGCCTGTAATCCCAGTTACTTGGGAGGCTGAGGCAGAGGCAGAATAGCTTGAACCCAGGAGGCAGAGGTTGTGGTGAGTTGAGATCATCCTGCTGCACTCCAGTGTGGCAACACAGCGAGACTCCCTCTCAAATAAAAAATAAATGAATAATCCATTTTCTTCCCTCTACACCAGAGGTCAGCAAACTTATTCTGTTAAAGGCCAAACAGTAAATATTTTAGGCCTCGTAAGCCATGCAGTATCTGCTGCAACTATTCAGTTTTCCTGTTGCAGCATTAAGGAAGCCACTGAAAAGTGTAAACAAATGAGCGTGGCTGTGTTCCCATAAAACTTTAAGGACAGTGACATTTGAATTTCATATAATTTTCACACGTAACACTACTATTACTTGGATCTTTTCCCCAAGCATACAAAAATATAAAACCCATTGGTAATGCACGGGTCTTGCACAAACAGCCTGGAGTTGACCCAGGGGCCATGATTTGCTGACCCCTCTTGTACACCATAACACCTTCTTGTAAGTACACCTCTCTTATGCCTTTGTTCCAAACAATACTGGGTTAGGAAAGACATGGAAAGAAAATGAGACACATTATTATTTTTTTTTTTTGAGATGGAGTTTTACTCATGTTACCCAGGCTGGAGTGCAATGGCGCGATCTCGGCTCACCGCAACCTCCGCCTCCTGGGTTCAGGCAATTCTCCTGCCTCGGCCTCCTGAGTAGCTGGGATTACAGGCACGCGCCACCATGCCCAGCTAATTTTTTGTATTTTTAGTAGAGACGGGGTTTCACCGTGTTGACCAGGATGGTCTCGATCTCTTGACCTCGTGATCCACCCGCCTCGGCCTCCCAAAGTGCTGGGATTACAGGCTTGAGCCACCGCGCCCGGCCTGAGACACATTATTTTTTGTACCCTATAGGTGATTGAAGGGTTGTTGCTACATAGCACCCTCGATTTATGCTGTAGGAGTCTTATTCTAACGCTAAATGTTAGAATATGCAGTTGGGAGTCTTATTCTAACGTTAAATGTCTCTTTTGTGGCTTATCCTAACCTTAAAATTGTAAATTCATTTAAGAAATTTTTTTTTTTTTTTAAGACAGGGTCTCACTCTGTCACCCAGGCTGGAGTGCAGCGGTATAGCCATGCCTCTCCATAGCGTCAACCTCCCAGGCTCAAGAGATTTTACCACCCTAACTTCCTGAGTAGCTGGGACTATAAGGTGTGCACCACCATGCCTAATCTTTTTTTTTTAGATACGGGTCAAACTATGTTGCCCAGGCTGGTCTTGAACTCCTGGACTCAAGCATTCTGCCTGCCTCTACCTCCCAGTGTTGGGATTACAGGTGTGAGGCACTGTACCTATCTTATTGTAAAATTTCCTTTAATGCTTAATAATTGGTGTATAGTAAGTGCTAACTAAATACTCACTGATAAGCACTGATCAGACGCTGCCAAATACTGTCTTTCTTTATTCACAGATGATAGTCAATGGGCAAAACATATAAGCAGTTACAATGAAATGAGAAGCAGTATGGCAGTCAGGCTATATGTATGATTTAACAACAAAATTATCACTTCCTTTTAATTTAGTTTAAGGGATAATTTAAAAAGCATTTCTTGGCCCTATCATTTCAGTTCCAGTCATTATTATGTGTAAGTGAACACTAAGTTTGATTTTCCCTTCTCTCACAGAACCATTTTGGTGATCTAGATGGTGGCCACAACGCTGCTTTCTGCAAGAATTCGGTCACACAGGCCTGGTCTAGCTTTGATGACATGGGTCAGTGAGATTCCAGGTACTTCCGTTTAAAACGCTACAGCCTATCTCCTGTTCTATAGCTGTCAGCCCTTTTCCATACCGACACAAAAGTGTTAAAAGCCAGGAAAATGGTGTTTCTGGAACACTGCAAAACAAGCAATTAGCATGTGGTGGTAGAGTTTTGTCATTAAACTCTTACAATGTACTTGCATCATTAACATTTTTATGTCTTTTGGGAATGTTATACAACCTTTTATCTTAAGGTAAGTCTGTTGTCCAGAAGAGGGGTGCTGGTTCACTGGAAAAGGCAGTGTGAAGATAATGCAATGCTAATGGACAGAGGCCTTCAAAACACTGCAGATTACACAGTGAGTTCAGGTTTTAAAATTCAGTGTCTATCAGAAAATATCTCATATATAGTCAACAAATTATTTTCCAAAGATACTTCATGGAGCTAAACAAAAATAATTTTTGTTCAAATGGCTCTGTGAGTTTAAGAATGTGATCTGGATATATCTGATAAAATAATTTAGCCAATAAGTAAGTGGTAAGTTTCTTACACTAATTGTAAAACATGAAAAGCTTTCAGCTTCACAATTTGAACCCCATCTTTTCATCTTCTCCCTGAGAGCCTGCTAATGGTGATCTCTTTCTGAAGTACTTTTAGAATCTTATTTTTATATGGAGTGTTTTACTGACTACACATATAGCAACTGAGTCCCTTGGTTTAATATATCACTCTGTGAAGATGTGGTTTATAATGCAGTTCACTTTGCAACCATGCCTGACACCTAGCATTTTTACCTTAATATGTAGAATGAATATTCTCAATATATGAGAATACTAGTCTTGAAAGGATGACTCTGGGTGTTATTACATAGCACACATGTGTGCATAAAGTCTATGGTTTTACATACATAGATACACTGTATTTGATAATACAGTATTAAAGACAAAACACAGGGTTGTCAATTATTTTTCTCATTAAGATTTTAATGTGGCTGTAAATGAAATTCTCATTTTAAAAAAATTAAAGAAAGTTTCCATTTATTTTTCTTTAGAATAAAGATTTAGTGCACAAATACAGCCCAAAGCCAACAGAAAAATAGCTCTGCCCTGTCAGTCATTTCCCTAAGAAAGCAATGCAGTTACTCAAAATAGGCTGGAAAAAAAAAAAAAAAAAAAAAAGCAATCCTCTGAGTTCTAGTTTTCACAAAAGGACCACATGTTAAACTATGTACATTGATTTGATGTGCAAGTATGCAATAAATATGTACACATACATTCCTATCTGCTTTACATCATTCTAGAGTATATCAAGATGGGATTTAGAAATGTGAAAAGGCCGTAATAGTGAAAAGGAAAAACAAGGATACAATGGTTTTTAGACCAGCAGAATAATGCTTAGCTAGTTAATTATTTTAACTTTGGAGCAGATTAAAAAAATTGTTTTGAAATAAATGGTACCTGTGAGTGATGCTTACTGCAATACTTGTTAAATGTTATTTGTCAGCACTGATCAGAATTATATAGTGCTAGTAACATAGCTCCCACTGTCCTAGAATTCCTCTAAATGGCCAGCTATAGCTACCATTATCTTGATAAGCATTTCAAGAGTTGTGTTGCTGAGCCTTTTAAAAGATAACTAGCTTATAACCTATGTCTCCTTATGTGGCTACATCAGTTACACGTGGTCCCAAGGAAGTATAAAAGAGGATATAAGCTGCTGAAGATTTCACAGAAGAAACAGAGATATCGGAAACTTCGTGATCATCAAACTTAAACCACCGTTGTCTCGCTGCGTTTTTACAATAGGCTGTGTAGTGGCCTCCATCCAGCCCGCCGTAGTGATTCTGTGCCAAACAGAATAGAAAATCAATTCAATTTAAATTGTTATTTAAAATATGCCAATAGTTTCAAAGCTTTATGTTGTTCTTACTCTCCCATGAGGTAGGAAACCACTTGAAACTTTTTATTTTAACTTGCTTTGAAACAAATAGTCTTCAGTTCAAAGAGATACTTACTGAAACAGAAAACAAATTATATTTCTTCAGATTGTTCTTTGGACCAATAACATATTGTGACAAGTCAAGATTTTCTAAAGGGAAATCCACAGATGTCTGTAATTTTTGTTTCCACCTGCCATCATAGGAAAAACTGCAGAACAAAACATTACAATTATACTGACAGAGGAAGATACTAGGATGAATCTTCATTCATTAACATCCAGAATGTTAGCCAGGACCATAAAAATCAATTTCAAATATAAAGACTTGGAATTTTAGTAGTAGGGGAACCCATTAAAGATATCTGGCTCCATTTTCATTTTACAAATGAGAAAACTGAGGCACACCGATATTTAATGATGTGCCTAAGGTCAAACAGCCAGAACTGTAGAGGTAGAACTACACTCTGGTCCAGCTACAACTGCTACATGAGTCTTCTACAAAGGTAAGACCCACATGTTTATAATGCTGATCACCACAAAAGCAGAGAATGAAAGCCAGAAATTGACAGTAGGGAGACTATTGACTAAAATAATGGCATTCATTCCATTCTGGCATATTCTGCTCCTTTAAACATCAAAACAATGATATATTGGTTGGTGTAATATGGTTATTTCAGAATTTTAAAAAATATTCAGCATTAAAAATGTTAACAAATGTGTAATCACTTATAGAATGTTTATATACCTCCACAATTCTCAAATAAGACAATGGAAAAAACTAGCTTTTGTTAGAAAGCTTTTGTTTTTTTATCTTAATACAAGATAAAACATTTTAAACAAATGCTTTTGACACAAAAATTACAGTTCTCAATAAAAAAGTGCAACTTTAAAGTTTTTCAAAAAATCAACTCTGAGTTCTCACTACACGGATGGATTACATGAAGACAAAAGAATCAGCAAAAGAAATAGTGTTTTCTAACTCTTGTCATTATTCCTTCTATTACAGGACTAGATCTTTTTCATCAATTGGAAAATCTGGACAAAATTATTTCTGCACTTAATGGTATCATTAACATATTTTATCTTTAAAATTATAAATTTCATTTAACACATGACTGTTATGCTTAGTCTGCTGTTTGAATGTTTCGTTTCATGTGCTATTTTGTTTTTGAATTATATGTATAACTTTTTATACATTTTCACTTGATGCTTTGTAATTATTTAAAATTATGTCTGAAACGCAATAATCATAAGAAATGACATGAACTAGTGGTATTGTCATTTTCCTATGGTATTGAAAACACTGAGATGAACTAACATTTCTGCTTTATCTCCCTAGATCTACTGTAACCAGATAATTGTCCTTTGTTATGTACCCATGGCAGGCAGTACAAGTATAAATGACACAGGACTTAGAATTCTTTCATTTAATTTCACTGAACAGAAAAAAAACTTTTCCCTTTACCGTTTCAGATGCACTAAAAGCACAGGTGGTAACTTCCAGATTTCTATCTTTTTTAGAGAATCCCGTCGAGCTCTGCAATGACTGCAGTAAAATCTGTTGTTATCTGTGAGTTTTTCTTCTTTGGAAAATAATCTAAGGCAATCCTGGCAGAAAAAAAGAAGTAGCAGATACTCATTAATTCATTTCTTCAACAGTGTCAAAGAGCACCTATTTAGTCACTCTGCAGGCACCAGTGATTCAACAATAAACTACCCAGAAGAGTTCCTGCCCTCCCAAAGCTTGTGATCTAGTGAAGAGTGTAGACAAGTGAACAAAGACAGCAAAGTGTGTGGTGAGTGCTATCTACAATGTGTTGTGACAGGACACAGGAAAGCCCCTAACCTGATCAATCAGGGAAAACCTGTTGGAGGAAATGATATTCTGGAGGTTTTTAAGACTAAAGGTATCAATAAGCTATTATATAAGAAACATTGTTGATATATGGAAAATAGGACATTTACTTGCTATCCCCATGTAAAGCAAATGCTTATGAAAAGTAGGCCTAAGTTGAAGTCAACAGACAACTTTCCAAATTGACTTATAAAACTTCTTAAAAACATATTAACAATTCTTAAAGAATATTTAATAGCGGTACTTTAAAAAAATTTCTAATTCTTTCTCATCTACATAGGCCTAATTATAAAACAGAATTTATATAGAGTTTTACTGATAAAATGTTTATAAGAGTAAAGACCAGAAATAAACAACATACATCTCTATATCCATATAAACAGCATTTTTATCCAATAAATCATTTTCTCCCTATCTTAAATTTACCTGTAATGTACATTTACTTGTGGATGCTAGCGGCAGAGACAGATACATGAAGGCCTCAAATGTCCTAGACTTTTTGTGACAGGTGAGGCACTGTACTGTAGATTTGAATTGACCCTGAAAAAGTGCAACAATTATAGACTCATTGAGCTGCTTGTGTTTCTGCCAGGCATGTTCTGCAGCTTTAAAGTCATCGAGATGATCATTATTTTCTTCTTTATATCTCTTCCGATTATCAGCCTGGAAATAATAGAATTATTTAAGCTCTATATTAATCTCTCAAAGATATAAATTGAAAGAATAAAAGTAAATACAAACACTATGCAGATTTAGAAACACTTGTAATTCTCACAAAGGAGCTGTGATCTCATTGAGTGTGGCAAAAATAATTCTAGCCAAAAATACTGAAAAAACCCACTTTATCAAAGAATGTGACTTGCTGAAATTTCCCCAATTTTTATTTAAAAAGCTGAAAAGGGTCAGATCTGGTGGTTCATGCCTATCATCCCAGTATTCTGGGAGGCCAAGTCAGGAGGATTGCTTGGGGCCAGGACTTCGAGACCAGCCTGTGCAACACAGTGAGAATCCCATCTCTAGCAGAAAAAAAGCTAAAAAGTTTGGTTTTGAAAAAAGATATCCTACATGTAGCTGGGAATTAAGGCTACAACTAGACAGATAAAATTTTGTTGCCCTAGCCTCTCGATATGTATATATACACATTTGTAAGTGTATTGTGTGTGTGTGTGTGTGTATGTTCAGTGGTAAGCACGGTGACCCCAAAAGTACATGTTAAAAAGTGCTTAAAAAAAAAAAAGCTGTAGTATACAAAGGGAGGGTGGTGATTTATATATAGATACATGCCTCCATAATAACTAGTCACATGAGTCATTT